AGGGGGGGCGGGCCAAACTCAAAACGTGGCACCCATGTACCCCTGCCCATGTCTCATGTACCCCCAGGGGTATGCATGGCACTGGTTGGGAAACACTGCCGCGCCCACATCCTCCCCTCCTCACAAACCCAACACCCCTCCCCACATGCACCCCCATGCACCCCCCACACTCCCCCCACCCCCCACATACTCATGCCCACAAACATCTACACAAGCTCCCACACCCCACATACACATCCACACCCACACAACTCCCCCACAAACCCCATACCCACCCACCCATATCACCCCCACACCCTCCACAATATACAAGAGTAAGACTTCACTTTGAGCTATCATGCAATTACCTCTATATATACACCACACAAATACACACAGATCAGGACAAAAATATTTCTTTTAAATAAAATTAAAATATGTTATTATCGATGTTTGTTTTTTAGTATATAACTTGTTTTTTTCTGGTTCCAAGATGGCAAACCCCTTTCCCAAAAGGAGTACTTCTGGGGGCAAAGGGCAGACTTCTGGTGGCGAAGGTCAGGGGTTAAGGGGTGGAACTTCCAGTCCCAAGATGGTGACCAGGGGGCAGGGCAACTGCCAAGGGGCAGGGCTATCCTTGTGGCCCTCAACAGCTCATCAAAACTTGTTAACCAACCCTCCACCCAAAATAACTGCCCACCTCTGCTTTACAGGGTGCACAGTCTATAAAAAACTGCACAGCATTTCTCAATACTCCTGGGCCTTCCTTATTGATCTCTGTTCCTACCACACAGTGAGAGAAATAGCTGACAACACAACAGCATTCATTATTCTGTATCTCTCTAAAATGTATCCTTCCTTTTCTCTTATCTGAACTGAACAGTCCTAGTCTTGTCTGTTGCTCCATGCCTTAAATCAGTGGTGGTCAATCTCTGGCACACATGGCACAGGAACCCCAGACACTGGCAACAGGAGTAAGGTCAGCACTTGGGGAAGGGATATGGATCAGCAGTCAGTGTTGGCTCAAGGGTTTGGCCCCACAGGAGCTGTGGGGGTAGGTGTTGCCAAATTAAGTGTAGCCATATCCCAGCAATAATGGAATTCATGGCATTGGGTGATGGCAGGGGCTTATTATTACTGTTACTTTCACACTCTGGACTTAACTTGTGGCACGCTTGCCAGAATATGGCCACTACTACACTTGGTTTTCTCTTTATGAGAGGGCTGCGTTCCAAAAAAACCTTGCATAAAGTGAATCCATTATTACATGCAATTAATAGGGATACGTACCAGCCTCTCTACTGCCCCCTCCTGAACCATGACAAATTCAAACAGTAATCACACAATACAATAACTGCTGCACAGAGAGGCTGCAAGCCCTGCGCTACAAGCAGCGGCACGCGCAGGGGGTGCGTCGCCAGGGCAGCCTGGGGCAAGCTGGAGAGGCACCTGGGGCAGGAAAGCAGGGTGTCAGGGAATGGCGGCTGCTCATCCTGCGCTGCCCTAGGGATGTGCCTCCCATGCCTGCTGCTCTGAGGGGCGCAGCCCCACACCACAGGAGGCGCGTGACCAGGGCAGCAGGGTGCAAGGCGCTGGGACCAGGCAGGGAGAGAAGCCGAGCTAGGCCCAGGATTGGGGCGAGGGCCCTCTGTGCCCATGTGTCTGCCCCTTCCCCTTGGAAGTGTGTGCAGCAGTAGGGAGCCAGCCCTCCCCCTCCCGCCAACGAGCTACCAGAGGCCCCATCCTGCTCCCCGCTGGGGCCCTGCAGCCGCACACTATGGCCTGGGCCCCAAGCACCCCCCAACTGGACAGCAGCCCCAGCCCTGCACAGCTCCCTCCCTTCAGGGGCCTCAATCCCCCTTTTCCCCCACATTTACCTGCTGGAGCTGCCTTCGAGGCTATTTGGGGTCACATGCATATACCACATGCATGTGGCACTCCCCCACTCCCTGGTCTCACTGCCTTCCTTCTGCTTTCTCCCAACTTCCTGCACACTGGAACTCTGCCAGCCTGCAAGGAGCTCATTGCCGGCCGACTTCACATAAGATTGGATTTTTCTTGCACAAAGTGAATTTCTGGTATAAATAAGGTTGTCACATATAAGCAAATTCACACAAGGAGAGACCCAAGTGTACCTTAAATTATTGTCTTTGGTGAACTATTTCTATTTTTGAAATCAAACACTAGAATGGAACATTCTATATTAACTTTGTACAGTACCTTATTCTTTATAGATCCTAATACGTCTGTTTACAAATCAGCTATTCACCTTGTGTTTTAAGTCCCTCAAAACTTCCTAAGACTTTGTTAGTCTTGCTAACCTAAGAGTCATTTCAAGTTTTACAACTTAAGCATTTATACCTCTTTCCAAATATAATAATTAACAATGCTACTTTCCATGGTATAGAAACCCGAGGCTCCACATTGTTAATCTTTTGCCACAAGTTCCTTAGTTTCTGATTTAAATTGTATGGTACCTGTCACTGCATGATTGATTACCTCATACAAGTATTACCCTACTGTGAGAAACACATCCCATAATAATGGTAGTACAGAATCATTCTTTCAAAAGGGAAATACAATCCTAGGATATATCTGGCTACATATTTTCAGTAGATATAGGGAAGTATTAACACCACTGTACAGGGCATTTGTAAAAAGTCATGTGAAATAACGTCTACAATTCTGATCATCCAAGTTTAAAAAGTAAATTGAAACCGAAACAGGCACAAAGAATGGCCACTATGAGACATTTTATCTCATCAAAGAAACAACATGAGATTGGCGTGTTTACTCTGTCAAAACACAGGCTGAAAAAATAATATAGATTCATAGATGTTAGGGTCGAAAGGGACCTCAATAGATCATCGAGTCCAACCCCCTGCATAGGCAG